AGAAAGCATAGAAACAAACCTTCATGTATATGGTCAAATGATCTTCAGCAAAGATGCCAAGACCACTCAATGGGAAAAGGATAGTCTCCTCAACAAGTGGTCCTGGGAAAGACGGATGCCCACATGCAAACAAATGAAGATGGACCCTTACCTTACACTATATAAAAAATTAACTCAAAATGGAATAAAAGCATAAACATAAGATCCAAAGCTATAAAGCTTCTACAAGGGGAAAAACTTCATGACGTTGGATCTGGCAATGTTTTCTTGCATATGACAATAAAAGCAAAAATAGACAAATGAGACATCAAGCTTGAAAACGTTTGTGCATCAAAGAACACAATCAGCAGAGTAAAAAGACAAGCTACAAACAATGAGATACCCCCGTACAGCTATTAGAACGGTCAAAATCCGGAACACTGAAACACCAAATACTGGTGAGAATGTGGAGCAACAGGAAATCTCATTCATTGCTGATGGGAATGCAGCAGTTTGGCAGTTTCTTACAAAACAAAACCCTCTTACCATGCGATCCAGCAATTGTACTCCTTGGTATCTAATGAAAAAAGTTGAAAATGTATGTCCACACAAAAAACTGCACATGAATGTTTATAGCAGCTTTGCTCATAATTACCAAAATTTGGAAGCAACCAAGACGTTCTTCAGTAGGTGAATGCATCCAAAACTGTAGTATAACCACACAACGGAAGATTTTTCAGTCCTAAAAGGAAATGAACTATCAAGCCATGAAAAGGCATGGAAGAACCTTAAATGCTATTACTAAGTGAAAGAAGCCAATATAAAAAGGCCAAATATTGTATGATTCTAACAATATGACATTCTGAAAAAGGTAAAACTATGGAGACAGTAAGAAGACCCAGTGGTTGCCAGGGATTGGGGTGGGAGGAGGGAAGGGGATAAACAGGTGAAGCACAGAGGATCTTTAGGGCAGTAAAAATAATTTATATGATACTATCCTTGTGGATGTATGCCATTATACATTTTTCCAAATCCATAGAATGTATAAGAATGAGCCGTAATGTAAACTATGGACTTTGGGTGATAATGATGTGTCAGTATAGGCTCATCAGTTGTAACAAATGTATCACTCTGGTGGGGGATGTTGATAATCCAGTAGGTTAAACATGTTTGCCGGGCGCGGTGGCTCAAGCCTGTAATCCCAGCACTTTGGGAGGCCGAGACGGGCGGATCACGAGGTCAGGAGATCGAGACCATCCTGGCTAACACGGTGAAACCCCGTCTCTACTAAAAATACAAAAAAATAAGCCGGGTGAGGTGGCGGGCGCCTGTAGTCCCAGCTGCTCGGGAGGCTGAGGCAGGAGAATTGCACGAACCCGGGAGGCGGAGCTTGCAGTGAGCGGAGATCTGGCCACTGCACTCCACCCTGGGCGACAGAGCGAGACTCCGTCTCAAAAAAAAAAAATTAAAAAAAATAAAATAAAATAAAATAAACATGTTTAGAGGCGGGAGATATTGGGAAATCTCTGGACCTTCCTCTCAATTTTGTTGTAAATCTGAAACGGCTCTAAAAAAGTACTCCTAAAGGTAACCATAGAATGAGAAAAAATGTTGCAAATCAAATATATGATAAAGGATTAATATCTAGAATATATTAAGAACTCATATTTATATCTTATATATATATCTTTTAAGATATAAATATGAGTTCTTAATATATTCTAGATATTAATCCTTTATTCTAATTATATAATTAGAATATAAGATATATATTATAGATATCTTAATATATATATTAAAATAATATATTAAGAACAACTCAACACCAAAAAAATCAAATAACCAGATTAAACAATAGGCAAAGGACTTGAATAGACATTTCTCCAAAGATGATATATAAATGGCAAACAAGCACATAAAAAGACGTTTAACATCACTAATAATCAGAGACATGCAAATCAAAACCACAGCGAGATATCACCTCACACCCATTAGGAAGGTCAGTAATAACAGTAGCATTTTGGGAGGCCAAGAAGGGTGGATCATGAGGTCAGGAGATTGAGACCATCCTGGCTAACACGGTAAAACCTCGTCTCTACTAAAAATACAAAAAAATTAGCCGGGCATGGTGGCGGGCGCCTGTAATCCCAGCTACTCAGGAGGCTGAGGCAGGAGAATGGTGTGAACCTGGGAGGCGGAGCTTGCAGTGAGCCAAGATCGCATGACTGCACTTCAGCCTGGGCAACAGAGCGAGACTCTGTCTCAAACAAACAAACAAACAAACAAACAAAAAAACCAGAAGATAAGTATTGGCAAGGATGTGAAAAAGTGGGAACCCTTGTGCACTGTTGGTAGCATTGTAAAATGGTGCAACAGCCATGGAAAACAGTATGGAAGTTACCCAAAACTTTAAAAGTAGAACTACCATATTTCACTTCTGAGTATATAACCAAAAGATGTGAAAGCAAGGACTCAAACACCCATGTACACCCATGTTCATACAGCATTATTCACAACAGGCAAAAGGCAGTAGCAACCCAAGTGCCCATCAGTGGATGAAGGGATAAACCAGATGTGGCATATACATAAAATGGATTATTATTCAGCCTTAACAAGGAATGAAATTCTGGTACATGCTACAACACGAGTGAATCTTGAAAACATGCTAAGTGCAATAAGGACAATATAGTATGTCCTTATTGGATACATGCTACAACAGAGATGAACCTTGAAAACTTTATGCTAAGTGAGAGAAGTCACACACAAAAGACCAAATACCATATGATTCTATTTATATCAAATGCCTAGAAAAGGTAAGTTTATAGAGACAAAAAGTAGATTCATAGTTGCCAGGAGCTGGGGGTGGGAATGGGGAGTGACAGCTAATGGGTATGATGATTTTTACTAGAAGCCAGGTGCGGTGGCTCATGCCTGTAATCCCAGCGCTTTGGGAGGCTGAGGCGGGTGGATCACCTGAGATCAGGAGTTCGAGACCAGCCTGGCCCAACATGGTGAAACCTGATCTCTACTCAAAATACAAAAATTAGGCAGGCGTGGTGGTATGTGCCTGTAGTCCCAGCTACATGGGAGGGTGAGGCACAAGAATCACTTGAACCTGGGAGTTGGAGGTTGCAGTGAGCTGAGGATTTGTGCCACTGTACTCCTGCCTGGGCAACAGATGGAGAGACTGTCTCAAAATATATATATTTTTTAATTGTGATGACAGAAATGTTCTAATATTTGAATGTGCTTGTATTAGTCTTCTCAGGCTGCCAGAACAAGAGATTTGTTCCTCAGTTCTGGAGGCTGGGATGCGTGAGTTCAGGGTACCCGCATGGTCAGGTTCTAGCTGGGGCCCTTTTCCTAGCTTGCTGATGACCACCTTCTCACTGTGTCCTCACATAGCGGGGAGGGGGAGAGACAGCAGACCCTGGTGCCTCTTCTTACATAGAAATTAATTTCATCACAAGGACCCCACTCTCATGACCCCATTTAAACCTAATTACTTCCCAAAGGCCCTATCTCTAAATACCATTAGGGATTAGGATTGAAAAAAACGAATTTGGGGGAGAAACAATTCAGTGCATAGCAGTGGTGATGTAAATACACTAGAAATTATTGAATTGTACAATTAAAATAGGTGAATTTAATGTACGTAAATTATATCTTAATAAAGCTGTTTACAGAATAGCAAATAATTAAGTCTATTTATAGAAGAAAAGTTGCAGACTATGCCCTAAGTGCATTAAATAAGTTATTGTTATTGTAACAATTCTGAAAAGCTGACATTATTATCCCTCTTTTACAGATAAGAAACTGAGGCTCAAAGAAATCAAGCAACTTGCATAATTAGCAAACAAAGCAGAGTTAAAATCTGTGAGCATGTGCCCTAACTACAGAGTTCCACGCTTTCTTCCATTTGTGATTGCCTGGGCCCTGGAAAGTGCTATGAATAGATCACATGAGCTCTGAGGTAAGGCTCCCTTCACCCTCAGTTCCAAACAATCCAATCACCATTTATGTGCAGACCCCTGTTCACCTCCATGGGGACCTACAAGTAGCTCAAGACCTCTCTGGAGGCCGGCATAGAATGTGAAGATTGCATATAAGTAAACATGAAAATAGGAGCTGATCAATCTGCCACAGGAGGTCAGAAGTTAACAGATGACCCTCTGTGAAAATTAAACTTTGCCCCTCTTCACAGCTCTTTCTGGGGAGGTCTGGAGGGTGGGCTTCGGAGCCAGACTCTGTGAGTACAAGTTGCATTTCCACCACTCAGAGGCTGAGGGACCCTGGGCAAGTTTCCTCACCTCCAAAATGGGAATGAGAAGAGAATCTCTTCTAGAGGGCTGTAAAGTGCTTACAGCAATACTAGGGCTCAATAAGTGCTTGCTATCGGTTACTTCGCCAGCGTATTTAAACCCTCCATCTGGCTGTGCAGAGCCTGCCTTTTCTTGGCTTTGCTACAAAACTGCCTTTGGGCAGTATGGTTTCTCATCTTTCATAGCCTTCTCTGTTGGCACTGGGTAAGCAATGCCCTCCAAAGCTTACCACACATCTTCACTGACCCACATGAAATCAAAGCCTATAGAGGTTGTAGCAGTCATCTGGTCCAGGCCGTCATCATACAGACGGGGACAAAGAGACTCTGCACAGGGGAGGGGCTGTGCACAAGCTGGTCCACCTCCCCGGGAGGCCCATCTAACATGATTATCATACACTCTGTCCAGTAAGCTTTTGTGTCCCAACTTCTCCCAAGAGATCTCCTCTCCATTTGGCTAAAGAAATAGGTGAGAAAAGCCACCATGATTTTAAAGACTGTCAAATGCTAATTACAAGTCCTCCACTTGAAAGATGGCAATAAAGCATTCTTAATAATCCTCATTCTCCCCAAACCTCCATCACTGGAAGAAAAGCCAGTTCTTTGAAAGCTGCGAACCAAACACAGCGGTTTTTCAGACAATGGTTAAGAGGTAGGCCAGTTCCCAGGGAATGGCTATAGCGTATTTTTCTCTTGTTACCTTGGTAACCGCTACCTTGGCGCCCTTGTTGATGAGCTGAACCACATTCTCTGTTTGGCCTTTGTACGCAGCTATGAGAAGGCGCTCTGAAAGTGCAGCGACTGCATCTTGCTGGCTCATGAATTAGGAAAGAAAGGTTTTCAGGGAAGCGGTAGACAAGTTCCTTCAGCTCAACACGAAGTCACTGGCCCGGCCTGGCACCCACAGGTAAAGATGTTCACAATCATCAGAAGGTATCTTTATGAATATGCCATCTTCGGGACCTAGGGGTTACAAAACAAAGCTGCCATCAGGGCCACTTGACACACAAGGACAGGTCACACCTCTTCTCTCTGATTTTAAGGCATTCTGCTGCTTGCAGGTTGCAGCGGGGGGAGCTGTGGGAGGCAGGACACAACACACAGGAAGCACACTCCACAGCAAAGCCCCTGAACAGAACTTCCAAGTGGAAGGCAGCAGAATGTGCCAACCTCCCTCCCTTCTTCCCCCATTAGGGACATCCTCCGGAATAGTATGGCCAGAATTGCAAGGTTTGCTCTGTTTTTCTCCCAGGGAGTGGAGGCCTGGTATAATCCCCTAAGCACCACCTGGTTTACACACCGCCTTTGGCAGGGAACTGTACTGTGTGTGATCACCAAAGGGCCCCTGGCTGGGTTTTGTGCGTCCACCATGGCTAATGTGCCGCTTCCCCAGTGGGTCAGCGGCCTGTGGAACACACCCCACAGAGACCCTGCTGAGTGGGTTCTCTCTTTGGGGCTTTCTCCTAGCATTTACTGCAGTTCTCTCCCTTCATCCTTTTCTCGCTGTAAATAGTATAGTTCCCGAGTTCTGGAACAGATGGAGAGCTGGGCACAGGCCCGGGCCGATTCCTGGTTCCAAGTGGCTGAAACAATCCACCTTAGGGACAACACAGATGCTAAACACTAACAGGGGCTCTGCCAATGCAGGGGGCTGGTCATGTTGCTTCCTTGCTAACAGGAGGAAAAGAAGTGGCACCAAACCCACCTACAGAACACTAAAGCCCTGTCGCAGAGCAGTGATCTGGAGGGTAGGAACTAGTAGCAAACTGATTTCTTCCTACCACATAGCAAAATGAATAGAATTTTAAAGACTGGGACTCCCCCCACTATACCTGGGCTGCCATTAGACCCAACCAAAGCCATTGGTAATTATTTCAAGGGTGAAGGGTTCTTTGGGCAGAAGAAGAAATACTTAAATGTCTAATCCAGTCCTGCTAGAACAGCAAGGAAGTGAGGGCTTCTCTGTATTTTAAAAGATACTTATTAAAAATACTAGTATATACAAATAGAAAGAGAATGCTACAACAGAGATATCACCCTTCAACCCAAACCCTACCACACATCCTAACTTTGAAAGTCTGGAAGACGCAGCCATCCCTTACATTTGTTCCCAAGCACACCCAAATATCCTTTCAGTCTCTAAAGATTAAGGAATTGGCCATGATATGGCTGGAAAGCCCTGGACCACATCCTGTTTGAACTCGTTCACTGTGGCATTCAGGCAGGTTGTTTGGCCAACCACTCGTCCACTGTGGCATTCAGGCAGGTTGTTTGGCCAACCACTCTGTGAGGCTAGGGTTAAATGCCCACATATAAAACAGACATGAGAACATTTATCTCCCAGGACTGTGGCGGGTATTAAAGAGGGTATTTTATTATGCAAAAGTATGGTCCAGATGTGAATACTACAACTTCGGAAATAATTCTTACCCCCACTCTTGTGAATTATCAAACTTTCTCATCGTTCTCCATCTGTTGCTCAAAATGTAGGTAAAGAATACCAGGGAAAGAGAGAGGAACCCTCGCGAACCCATCCTGCTCCTGCTCACTGGGTCATTAGAAGCACAATGAATCTGGCAGAGGGTCTGCTCTAAAGCAGCTTGGTGAGTCATGGTCTGAGATCCCTGGGATATGCCAGAAATAGAGCCAAAAAAAAAAAAAATGAATAAAGTTGAGACTCAAAACACTGAAAGAAATGGAACTGGAAATGCCTTTGAAAATTCTCATGGTCGCACTGAATGGCTACAGTCTGGGCTTTATGTTTCCCAGACCATTACACTATTTGGAAGTGGTTTGTTTTTAGAAACATAGCTGCATTGCCTCTTTTCATTCGGGTAATCTGTGGTTCATTCAAACCAATTATACTGAACTTCTGCTCTGTTTGCCCAAATATTGCAAAATCACTCCAGGCCTAAACGGCAGGAAAATACAGAGTATTAGCCATGACTTATGAAATGATCTCCCTTCCACAATCACACCCTTCCCCTCATCTACCCATTTGTTATCCCTAGACCTAGACCCAACGGCCCCCTTCCATTCCAGAACCTTTCTTGCAAGGGGTATTTGAATGTCTCAAGTAAAACGGCCCAGTTCATACAAATATTATCATGGCTAAAATTCTACTCATTCTACTCATTCTGCTCCATGGCTTAGCCCCTGAGGGTAGAGGTTTTTTTGCTGCAGCCTCAGTACAGCCCATCAGCTGAGGTCACAAGCTCCACACCAGCAGCGCTGTGCAGCCTCCTCAGCAATGGATGCAGGGGTCCAGCTGGCCCATAGTAAATTGATAGCCACTCCCCTCCCACCCTCCAGCCCCATGCAATGAATTCAGCCTCCTGGATACTGAGACTGAAGTACACTTATGCCATAGCTGCAGGCTACTGAGATAGCCTTGTTTAGATAATTACCACTGGTAAACAGCCCTTTGCAAGTACAGCCCACATTAATTTTCCTTTTTGTTTGGTTAAAGATAGAAAAATACTACAGTGGTGAGAAAACATTGGCCAAGCAGAAACACCCTTCTATTTTTTGCTTTTCAGTTACAGCTACTTAAGAATGTTCCTCACTCTCACTCCATCCCCACCACCATAATCAAAGCACCCACAGAGCAGCCTCCAGAACAGGTCCCTCGCACAGGATTTTGGATACTCCCCCTACCAGAGTCATACAGAAAACTGCGTGCAAGATCAGGAACAGAACCCCAGCTTTACAATTCCTAGTCTGTTGCCAACACCATCCCTATGTGCTTGGACATCTCAACCTCATTTTCAATTTAAGCCCAGTAATCGCCTCCTTACTAGGATCTCCAGCCTTTACCTGCAGGGGCATTTACACACAGTTTGTGGGTGGGAGGGTATCAAATGAGGGTCTTCTATTTCTGCTTCTTCCTGCACCTTCAGCCTTGGGTGTGGGTGCAGGCTCAGCAGAGATACCAAGTGCAGGCCAAGCAGAGACACCACCTCTCTCCCTCCCTCATGGTCACTGTTCCTAAACCCCATATCCTTACCTCCCATCTAGAACAATGATCCCCCATCCCTTAGAGTGAGAAGACACTCTGCTTCTCATCTGATGTTCTGACCTGACAAACTGGACCAGACAGAGGTGTGTGTATTGCAGGGGTGGGGAGCAGTTTAAGAAGGGATGGGGGAACCCCTGACAGTAAATTGGGAGGGGAAGGGAATAGAGGGGTGAAACCAGTCTGGAATCAATGAGTTAAACTTCATGCCAACCTGTTGGCTACCTCGGCTGTAGCAGTTCATCCCCTCCTTGTATCTGAGCCTCCTCTTACAGGTAGATCAGCTATCATTCAAGATACTTCCCACTGCTGGCAGTGAGAAATGTATTCTGCCCCAAGCCTATCAATTACATCCCTCTTTGTCACAATGCTAATTTTTCACAGCATTCTGAAGGAAAACCTTAAACCAAACATGCTGCCCATTCCTTAAGCCAAAAGGAAATAAACACATGAGCATAAGTATGCAATGCATATCCTGAATCTAGATAGGGATTAAGCTTCCTAAGATTTCCCTCCTTCCTCCCAGCCCACTGCCCCATTTTTGTTGCTCTGTAATTTGCTAATTCTTTTGTCTGTCGTCACAAATACCAGAGGGTCACACAGCTGCTTGTCTGTGATGCAATCAGTTTTCTTTTTACAGAAAAAGGTCTATAAGGTTTGCTTTTGCTGTTTTCTTGGGGCTTTACAACAAATTTTCCTACACTTTGGAGAATTTGCCAATATCCTAAAGCCACTACACATCTGTCTCCCGACAGGCAAAATATTCCAGAAGAGATCTGCAAATAAAAGTCCCAGTCAGGCAGTATGTACAACCCACCCAGAGATGGCCCACAGGCACCCAGGAATCGGTGGCTATGGAGCGCCATCAGCTATAACAACTAGCTTTGCTCCTACTGCTCCAAACCTTGTGTTGAAGAGATGGTACTCACATCCGAGGGGCTGTCCTCTCTGTTCTACATCGTGTTCAGTTTCTGGACAACTGTGGTCAATTCTTTCCTGGAGAGATCATTAGCTTCCTAGGGCTGTCACTCCCAGCAAATCTGCAGTGATTTACGTTATAATGCTCGCTGCCTTTTCCCTTTAGCCTCCTCTGCCGATGCTGGCCAAATCACATCTAAAAGCTTATTAAGACATCCATTCAGCTTGCAATGTTTTGTGGCTTGCTAGTCTGCTCGTCACAGCTTCTGAAAGTCTTGTGTCTGCAGATTTTGACGGACTGCTCCCTCCTGCCAGCAGAGGACCTGTAACACTGCCCCGATTGAAGTCAGGGAACAATTCACAGATCAGAGGAACATTTCTGAATGATGCTCAGACGACAGAGAAACGAAGTTTGCATTATTTCAGCAGTAATGCAACAAAAGATGAGCATTCGTGTTGTAAGGGAGGGAGGGATGCAGAAAGGGTTGAAATCTGTAACAAACTGCCTCCAAGAAAACAGGAAAACGTTTGCTTTGTGGGAGCAGCAGAGCCCAGACACTCCACCCTCCTCAGCAGAGTTCCAGCACAGTGACTGCGGCAGCACAGGAGACAAGGGTCTGGCTGAGCAGCTGTTCCCAACGTTTGTCTCACAAACGCTCCTCTGAACAGTTTCTGCAGGGAAGGGGGAAAGGAGTAAATAGGGAGCAGAGCCCCTTCAGAAGCTGTTCCGAGTGCTGTCGACTGCCCTAAACTCGCAATCGTGTGCTCCAGCCCACTTGTTGAAACAACAGAAATCCAACACCCACCTGAAGACATCATAGAAAGGAGAGGGCTTTCATTTTGATTTGAGCCAATATCCCCACATTTTCCTCTCTGTCTCTAAAGATAGAATTGTTGGTCTCAGAGACGAGAAAATTACTCTACTCTGTCAGCACAAACCCTCTTACCACCCGTCGTCCTAAAGCCTTGCCCTATTTCCCCAAGAGTAATGGGGCAATGGAATGGACTGCAATTCTGCTTTGGTCGTCAT